AGTACCATGTGACAACCCAATTCTTTCTTGAGCAAAACCACACTCCTAATGTTGCCCTACATTGTAAAAACAACCTTCAAAAATCTCAGACACTATTCCCGAATTCTTGATAAAGATTCTTTTAAAAGTGTCATTGGCACTTGCAGGAATTCCTTTTCTCTTCATTTAAAGCTCCAGAGCCTTGTCCTTCCTTCCTTTTGCCTCTCTGGTTTATGCTTTTTAAGAAGCACTCCGGGAAGCCTCACATTTATTGAAGGTTAGATTTGAAAAACTGACTGTAGGTAATTCTGAGTTGAGAACACCCTACTCCATCTCTGTTTCCAGTTCTCTCTTTACTATGAGCCCTGACGTGGTCCTCAGCCAGCCTGGCTTGATCCCCATCACACCCTATCAGCAATGTCTGATCCCAGGCCTCCGTAGCTGGCTCAGAGCCCACATCCTAACCAGACTCCCGGGATTTCTGAGGAAGTACTTACACTTTCAAAGTTCTCAGAAAAATGGTGCATAGCTAGCCCCAAAGGAGGAAGCAGGAGATGGGCACGGTGACCAGAACTATGCTCCATGTCATTTTGGTTCAAGTACACCGAAGACTTGATCCCTGCCCTTGGCCTCTGATCCTGCCAAAAAACTCCTTCCTTCTTTAATACAAAAATGTACCAAACTGACTTGGTTACCCTACTAGGGATGTAACTGTTAATCTGTGGACCCAAAAGGAACACGTCAGAGATCACGCGGCATAATGAAGCAAGCACGGGCTCCAGAACTAACAGTCTGAGGCTCACCTGCTGGCTGCGCCAGTCTCTCACTCTACGGCCTTAAGGAGGTGGTTCCAGAGCCTGCTTCCTCATCTGTCAACAGAGGACAGACACCACCGCCACCTCGCACGGCTACGGTAAGGGATTCATGAGACAAGTGGTATCACGTACACGACAAGAGGCCTAGCAAACAGAAAGCACCCAGTGACGCTCAGTTCCCTTCCCTTAAACATATACTAAAGAGAGTAAAACGGCTGCCAGGGGTTAATTCTGGCGACTGCGATTCTATACAAAGCAGTTAACGTATGTCCACATATACCATGACTACTAATTCTCAGAACTTTTCCCCCGAGTTTCCACTCATTAAAAGGACCTGCAGCTGACAATTCCTCTTCAGAGAACATTCCAATTATCTACGCCAAAGTCAGCAAAAACCCCTCAGAAACTCCTCTTTTATCTGACCTTAAATTAAGTTATATTTAAAACATTTAAATGAATGAGATAAAATAGTCTATTTTAATAAGCTTATTTCAAAATTGATAACTATAATAATTACCTTAATGTCAGAATCATTAAATTTTATATATTTTAAGTAAAATAAATACTTCAGAAGCACATTTTGAGAGATGCGCAAGGAGGTTTAGACAACTTAATGAGATACTACTCAGATAAAACATGTAAGTAGAGAAGCAACTTAAG